AGTGTTGCCATCGTGGAGCGACCGGTCTATACGGCGGCGGACGATGAAGTCTTTGCAATCTTAGCCAACCTAATAAATAGAGTAAGAGGAGGGACAGCAACTGAGGTACTAGCGCCCAGGTAACAACTTGCATCCCATGCCCTGTGTAGGGATTGCGGTGTTTATAAGTGGGAGTTCATCGAATCCAAGTAGAGCCCATCATAGTTGTTGGGGAGAGGCGGGGACTTTGAAGGGGGGGGGGGGGAGAAGGGTTGCGGTCACAGGCGGCTCGCAGTCAAAGTTTTACTGGACTTCTTATGTTAGTAGACACCGCCCTTCCCTTGATCGACCAGTGTTGGGAGGGTTGAGTTTTGAAAACCTCCCCTCTTTGAAGTGATGAGTCTTCGTCATTTTCTTGGCTCAAGGTGGCTCAAGGTTTCAGTTATTGCACACTGACATCAAGAATTGCTAAGAAAAGCAGTTTAACAAGTGCTTTATACTGCTACAAATGCTTGACAAAAATCTGGATCGATCTGATTATTGCAATAGTGTGCGTTTCCAATTTTTAAAGTATTAGTATCATTTGTCAAATGTTCCACCGCGTCACTGAAAAAGATTGACTTTTGGTCACATAGACTTAATTGGAATCGTTGAACAAATTACAGTATAGCTGTGAGAGAAAACTAACCTTTTTCCGAAATACATCTTCATTGTTGAGTCCAGCAAGCGTCTGATAGTTCGGATCGAATGTACCCACCATTTTCGGCCCTGCGCCTCTAGCTGGAGCTTGTGGTTTGGGTGGAGGAACACCTCCGAATGGACCACCAAGAGGTTTCGCTGGAGGTGGTGGAGGTCCACCCTAGAATGTGAAGATGTTTCCACATCCTCGATGGAAAACGATGACGAACCTTTGGTTTGAACACGTCTTCGTTGTTCAGTCCAGCAAGGGTTTGGTAGTTCGGGTCGAATGTAGCTGCCATCTTCTTCCCACCTGCTGGGACTGGAGGTGGTGGTTTTATATTGCCTCCTGGGAAAGCCCCACCGCCGCCTCCACCAATACCAGGAGCACCGGGCTAAAGTAGAATTGAAGTTGGCACAATGAGAACTAAATGAGTAGACTCTCACTTTTTTCTTGAAGATATCCTCGTTGTTGAGCCCAGCAAGTGTTTGGTAATTCGGATCAAATGTTCCAGCCATCTTATTCTGACCTTGAGCTGGCGGCCTTGCAGCTTGCGCTCCCATTCCTCCTCCCATTCCTCCACCACCGCCTGCCTAGAATTGATGATTGAGCTCACTTTATGTTGTTCCGAAAGATCAAGGCGTTCTGTCCAAATTTCAGTGCTGTCGATTGCTCGGCTTGAGTACGGTAGGAATAGAGGGATAAATTGAACCTAATCGCTCCTTCGGATGGCTCGTACGCGTATATGAGGGGCACAAAAAGGTAATCGAAGAGGTTTTGAACCGCGAAAGGCAAGTTCCACGATGAACTAAGCTATTCTCCCACATATTACAGACGATCCGGTAGGCGATTGTGTAGGCTGTGCAACATTCAAAGAGTGGAAGTTTCTAAGGCCGGTGGAAGCTGACCACTAAGATCCTTAGGCACCCCTTAGGCCCATGCCATCCCCCAGCGACAGCTAGGTACTAGTAGCCCATCCGCCAGGCCTCTTCACTCCGAGTACTGACAGTGAGGTGATGTGGGATAGCAGCTGATATCGGAATGATAATAAGTAGAAATTTGCGCAAACACGCTTCACTGTATGCACGTACAAGCTGGGATCGGCATAGAGTCTTACATGGGACCTTTCGCACGGTTTCTTCTGCTTTCCCCCCCCCCCCCCCACTTATCAGTTACCTGCCAAGGTGCAAATGCTTACCAGTTACCTAACACTTTGCTAGGTGACTGGTAAGCACTTTAGTGCCTTTACCCACTATCTGCAGTCGCGGGCTTTGCCTTAAAGTGTCATCGAGCACATGGTCAAAAAATTGAGAATGAGGTGTGTTGGCTACAGGTGGCCGAAGGACTGTTGGCGACCAGTCCCCTGTGTCATCAATTTGAAAAGTCTGCTAGGTTTCACCGATTTAGTGGTCTTGGCTATATGCTATTAGGTTGCACATAGCTTCTCTACGTATGTTACTCTGAATCGTTCTGATTGCTTTCTAATCGACGTACTTATTTCGCCGTAACGCGCGCCATATGCAAATACTATCTGGCATCTGAATGCAAATTTCTCCTCAATAAAGTACAAGTGACCTTATTTTGGAAGATGTCTGCATTGTTCAATCCGGCTAGCGTTTGGTAGTTTGGATCAAATGTGCCGACGACATGCTTCTGCTCCGGTGCTCGAATATTCAATTGTTCCGCAGAGCCATGTCCCTCGCGTGATCCACCCCTTGATTCCTGCGACGGACCCCTGTTTTCATTGGAGTAACCCTAAAAAAGCATATTTAACACGCTCAATGTGACCTGTTATTAAACTTGCTCAAAGACGCTCATAGTCTTTTGTCAGCTTTCTGCTGATGTTCGTCTTGCCTATCGGGAGCAAGTAAAGCACCATGAACGCCCCAACCAAAGCAATGCTTCGGTTGTTTGAAGCTTGTAAACATTGGCGCTTACCTCCATGAATGCACTGGGATATTGCTGAAATACGGCAAGCTTAGTTTAGTTTCCATCAACTGGTAATCATTAAGATGGGATATGGCTCAAACCTTTTTTTCTCTTGAGCAGAATATTAGGATCCAATGAGTAACGAGTAGATGAGAAAGTATCAGAATCTGCAACAGCAGTGGACCCTCACTTCGATGGTGAGGAAGTATTGCAGGATTCAGCATTTTATTAGGTTGGCGGGAAAGTTCTGTCACATTTTTTCAAATTAGACTTTCTTTTTACAGAGAGGCGTACAAGATCAAAATTATACAGCAATGTTATTGAGAGATCCTTGCCAGTTTTTGGACAGTTCGTGGATGCCATCGCTTAACAATGCACGCCGGCGCGACGCAAAGTTGGACATCATCTCAACTTTGACTTGGGCTCAAGTCGTGGAGGTTTTCTCGGCTGTATAACGGTTGGAGGCGCTGTTTGTCGACGGGGGGGGGCATTTTGTATTATCATTGCTTCCCTAGTTCCGGTTTACAAATCTCACTCTGGTAAAACTTGTGAACTCTTGTGAAGCTGAAGGATCGTCTAGCCACTATCCTAAAACGTGTCAACTCGAGAAACGGCTACCTAGATGGGTCGACACATCTATGGAAAGCAAAATGCCCCTCGTCGACAAACTGCGATACGGTTGAATACGGGAGGCGGCTAGCAGTCAGAAAGAGCAATGTCTGGACTACACCGGTGCAAGGGGAGAGCCATCCAGCTCTATTGCATGAAGTACGGCTCGAACTTTTTTTGACGGGGTGTGCTGCACCAGCACGTTGAAGACGGACTGTGCCGATGGATTTTGCCCTCTGCTTGACGATTCGCTTCAGATCTCGTAGCTGCCTTGCGTACGGATTGACCGAGGAGGCAGCTTCTTCATCCAGTAGTTTCCCGACCCACCGCTATCTAGAGCTGAGTTTACAGGTACTCCCGAACCTCACTTCGTCATTCGAACCGTAGGCTCCCGCTCTGAAGAGCTAGCGTCGTGGAAGATTGTCTGATGACTGTAGACATTGTCCTTGTGCAGCTCCATTATTTCGGCGTCGACAGCTGCCATGCTGGCGCCAGGGTCGGTGCTGAAGGTAGCGGATAACATTCTTGTCCATAATGCAGAATAAGGATGAGCAGGAGCCGAGCCAGTGACACTAATAGAAAGATCAATCCTTAATGTATAAATGCTCACATTACCGGTTAGCCCTCTTCAGGTAATAGGCGAATACTTGGGTTCAAAAAAGTATGACAGAACTTTCCCGCCAACCTAATAATCATTGACATTTGGAAAGGCTCGATCCCGGCGTTCCAGCTGATGGCGTCGCAGCTGGTCATGCGGTTTCACTAGAGGTGAGCGAGCCCTTCCGCGGCGTCCACCGGTGGTCATACTGAGTCGACTGCTAGTTAACCGTAATTAGAAGAGCAAGCTAGTAGGGGACTGGTACATTCCGCCCCTCTTGGCATACCCCCCCCCCTCCAGCCCCCCCCCCCGCCCCCTCCTGCTTGCAAAGTTATCACTTACACCTGTCTTGGAGCGGGTCATCCAGTGACATTGTGACGCGCACAACTGTGCGGTTTGATGTCAAAGCCCGCTGTCACAGATAATGAGTAATGGAGCCCAAATACGAATGGCAAGGCACTAAGTAACTGAGTAGTGAAGAAAAAAGCTGACAAAACTGTGAACTGCCCCATATGGGACCCCGGCAGATCTCAGCTTGAAGGTGCATACAGTAGAGAGAAGGCGTTTGTAAGGAATCTCACTTGTGGGTATCATTACGATATGACCGCTTCTCTCTTATCACCTCACTCTTACCATTCCGAATAGAGAGAGCACGTAGAGGGGCTACTAGCTAGTAGATTGTAGCCGCCGTGGGTAGGCTCGGGCTTAAGGAGTGCTCATGCGCCTAACTGCAATTTCTACAAAAACCATGCATTTTTTCTGTTTTTTGGATGTAGTACGGCTTCTAGAATGGCCTACCGGGTTATCTAACACGTTCGAGAAGTTGTAGCCTTAGTATTTTTTGTTTTTTTAGAAATTTTTTCTAAGTAAACCCTTCAATAATATAGGTTGTTTTTACGCTCACTGTCACATTGCCAAATGTGTCTGCGACGGATGACCGTTGATTATTCAGATGGCACGATGAACCTTCAAGTCGGTGTAAGACTAGTACGCCCAACAGGAGTGGGTTCTGCGCCCCTGAGCAAGCGCTTAAAAGGAAGCTACTATTATAGCGCATTATCATGCTGCAACATACCGCCTGGACGCCCACCTCACCCTGCCGCCCACAAATGGCCGACCAATCCTGATGCTTGAATCACTTCATTTGCGAAGTACAATATGAGGCAAAGGGATTGATATGAAGCGGCTGCGTTGCATGGATACATGACATCCATATTTTACCGTAGCGGGGTTTTATGGGCAACGATGCCTGACGGGAGGCCACTATGGTCCGAAATCGCGTTTGAGTGCGCGTAGAACGAACGCAGTCATTGCTACGTCCCGCCCCACAAGGCTGACCACAATCGCTTGGGAGGCAGAAAAGAGCAGGAGCTCGGGTTGCCTAACCGACTCGTAGAGCAGCAGCTGCCCAACCAGATCGACTAGGCTTACTGTGAATCAAGTGCATAGAGCCGATTAATGCTCATCCGGTCGGAAATGCTTCGAGAAATGGTGGGATCAGCTCAGTGCACGAACCTCTCCCCCACTGGCTGTTTCCCGTGTTTCCTAAACATCACTAACCGATCACCATTGGTGGAACGAGGCAGTCGCAGGCAGGCTGACACCGCCCCTCCTCACACCACCTTGACTGAGTGCGACATCATCACCCACGTATCAGAGGTTGGTCTAGAATCAGTTCAGTGACAGGATCCAACTAGAAGACTTAACTCAGTCCGCTAAAGTTTCATCGCCGGGAACAAAGCCAACAGGCATCTCAGGACAATGGTGAACTAGAGTTTCTACAAGACTCAAAAGAGAAGTACTTACGAGTTCCAGCATCTGACCGAATGGAGTATAGAGACGGCTGTGCAGTGTCGAGTACGAATAGAACTGAGACTCACTAGACCCTTCGGCTATATCATTCACCTATCACTATCCCCCATACTGATATCATTAATCGCAACCTCTCTGTAGAGAATCTGGGAGACGGTAACCCTAGACCCCGTCATCGTGTACATTTATGACTAAACCAGTCGGATCGCCCGGCTAACGCCGAGCTCTTCTTGGAAGCCCGGCTTCGCCGGGCTCATGCAACTGCTTTAGAGCCTCACTTCTTAACTCGTGAAAGAAAGGAGCAAAGTAAGGCATAAGCAGGGCGATACTACTGTCTTAGGCATTTATGATGCTCTCATGGTGACTAACCGCTGTCTTCTAATCAAATAAATGTAGAAACGCGCCATATGATCGCAGGGCACTTTCATAATGAAAAGTTCAAAATCTGGTCATGGATAATCGATTACTCTCCTCCCATCTTATGACAGCCACGGATGCTTCGGTCTCCGCAGTCGCTGCGTGCTCCTGTTCAGGCGAGCGTCGGTCGCGCCAATATGGTACCCCTTCACCTCACCTATCCCCAAACTAACCTCAGCTATTCCCCGCTCAGCCACCCTACAGGTCACGCTCGGCTGCTACGCGAATAGCCCGTGCAATGGTTCTGAGTGCACTAAATGGTTGTGTTATATTGTGAAGGGTGTTATGACTATCGAAATTATGACTATCAAAACGCTACCACAATTTGATAATGCAATATTACTCGGTTCATTTCCGAAGGCGGTCTATTTCTTTTCTTCTCTTACCACATCTGTAAAGGCCTTATCGCCGCAGTCGCTGCTACTGATCGCGAGATCGTCGCACTCATCTGGTACCTCCTCACCACATCATATCCCACTCACCCTACTGCACGTGGTCACTACCATGTGAGCAGCTAGCGCAACATAGGACACTCCCCCGCCGCTGCTCTTACTACCGCCCTGCTCACATCCAGATTCTAAGCGAGCAGCTCGTGTAATAGCTCAGAGTCTTATATAGCAGAGAGCGATACCACGATCCAAGCAACTTCTTAGTTCGTTGCTGTGACACGGATTACCTTGCAGTTTTGCTAGCAGTTCCTTCTCTTTTCTCTTGCTGCCTGCTCCTACGCTACACAGCCGCATCGCTGTACCACGAGTTTGCCCCGATTTTCCATCCCTCTGCCATCGCCTCCCCTGTATGGGCTGCCCAAATCCGACTGAGCACACCAAGAAGGAGAACAGAAGACGAGGTACTCGGTACCCACATCCACCTTCCTCACCTCATCCCTTTCCATACTCGCCACTCCCCTCCCCATCTTGCCCCTTGCGCGCGCTCACTACAACTACCACACGAGAAACCCGTGCAATGGCTCGGAGTGTGGTGGTCCTCTTATATAGTGGAAAGTGTTATTATGACCAAAACAACTTTTCAATTCGTAACGGTAACATGGATTAGCCTGCGGTTTTCTTATCGGTTGTTCCCTCCTCCTTTGCTGCGCGTTTCTACTCAAGCGCGCGCTACGCACCCCTCCTGGCACTGCCTTCGGGCCCTCCCCTCTGTCTCCCTCCCATTACAGCGTCACTCTTCAGCTCCGGCTGAGCACGTGCAGGAGAGGGAGGCAGGGCGACCCGGTACCCCCACCCTGCCCCCGCACGAGCACACGTCCAGCTGCCACGCCAGCAGCTCGTGCAATGGCTCGGAGTGTACCGAAATGGTTGTCTTTATGCGGCAGCTGTATCACAATCAGAATCAGTTGGGACTGCGTACAGGTCCTCGCAGTCGTGTCACCGGTTTGCCTGAACCGGTCATTTCATAGACTTCGAACCCCGTGAGAAATATTTTTGCGGAGCGGAACAAGATCAAAACATATCATACACTTACATACGTACTAAACCTCATACATACCGCTTGATACCGTTGATGTCGCGCTCGTGCGGCAGTCCGGTATTGCAGGACACATCTATGCCATTCATCACGA